GGTCCTATTATGCTCTTTTACAAAGTCTTGATTTTGTTTTGGGGGTGTACTAGAACAGGCTCTCATACTAGGTTGTTCGAAAAACACATTATTTTTCACATGTTTTACATTATTACAACACCTCTCTCCCCAGTCTGGCATGAACGGCTCGAAGAGTTCCAAAATCAAATGAAGGCCCACCGTCTGAAATACGAAGTGTGCTGTGATTGGTTAGCTGGGCCAGTGTGTGTTGTGATTGGCAGCACTCGGCACCTGGTCGGGAAATGTCATGCCCCTTACCATAGCCGCCTGCCAGCTTCAGTGTAAATACTGCATCAAAATCAAATAAATTTCAGCGCGATTTAAACCCGGATGATTGTAGCCACTCTTAAGTTCGTCTGCCTTGGGAAAGCTAGCGTGTCTCCGACATAGTGATAACACTCGTTGCCTTCTCTAGTGCAGCTTAACCAGGTCTCATCCCATTCGTCGATATTTGTGATATCACAAATCCCAGAAAATATGCGTTGTAGTCCAAACGAGTTGTTCGTTGTAGTTTTTGAAAAGTGATTTCTGTTGAATAAAATATCTCCTTTTGATTTGGACTTTGAGCTTTGTAACTTTGCACATCTTTTTTATGCTCAAACAGCAACATTACAGACTAACTAAAGTTGAAAAAGTGAAAAAGCATAATAGGACCCCTTTAAAAATGGTCCTGGACCCTCCAAGCCTTTCAATGGGGGTAAGCGGGTGTTGGTTGTCAACAGTTCAGAAGACGTGAAATAAAGCACGCGCATCCGTAATAAAACGTCCCTCACATGGCTCCGGGGGGTGAATAAAGGCCTCCTGTAGCGAATCCATGCATTTTTGTAAGATAAATATCCATATTTCAAATGTAATAAACACTTTTTTCTCACTTCCGCTGACTGTGGTACACGGAAGACGTTCAGACGTAAGACGTATGCGTCGTGCACGCGCCTCTGCTAAAGTAAGGAAACTTTGTCTCCTTTTTAACAAATCCTTGTTTTGTGCTTTTAATTTGTGACCACCATTTTGTTTTGTTTTGTCTCCGCGTTCGTCACTAATCACGTAATGTCGACGTTTTACGTCATCTGTCTGAACGGCTTCCGCATACCACAGTCAGCCGAAAAAAGTGTTTATTAAGTTTGAAATATGGATATTTATCTTACAAAAATGCATGGATTCGCTACAGGAGGACTTTATTCACCCCCCGGAGCCATGTGAAGGACGTTTTATTAAGGATGTGCACGCTTTATTTCACGTCTTCTGAACTGTTGACAACCAACACCCGCTTACCCCCATTGAAAGGCTTGGACTGATAGCCACATTTAGTTTTTTTAAATATGTATATTTTTATTATTTGTAACAAAAATATTCAGCCTTTGTTTTGTTTTGTCTGTGTTGTTTTTAAATGCTGAGAACATGTATGTTTTATTTTGGTGCTTGTTTTCCAATAAGAAAACCCAATCAAGTATAAACATTAATACAAATATGATCATCATCATAATTATATTATTATTCATTTTTATATTTTATGAAATCCGATTTCTTTTATAGGGAAACTGTCATTCCTATATTTCTTGATATCTACAGTTTTCCCCATTTTTAAAAATTAAAGATACTACTGATATTATTGTCGGCTTTAATCATTTTTATACAGTTGATTAATAGCTGAATAAATATCATAGCACTGAGCATAACTAGAATAATTTACATTCACTGTAGTAATAATAATAATAAAACATTTAAAATATACTGATATTAAATATGCTTGTTGTTGGCTTTTTTAACATCTCATATTATTTCAAAGTTTTTGATCCTGAATTAAGAAAACAAAAATTGTTTTGATCATCTACTGATCTGTAATCCCTTAACAGACCTGAAATGAATGAATGACAGCGTATGACAGTACAATGAATGAAAGAGTGAACTCCTCTTGAATTTGTTTATTGGGGGTGGGGATCAGGCATGGGTCACTAACAGCTTTTCAGCAGTCCAGAATTTCTGAAGCCTGGCACCTGCTATTGGTTCATGAATATTAATATTAACATGAATGGACAGTTAAGTATGGTCAATTCGCAAAAGACAAAAATGTAATTAATGTCATGAGATTACAAAAAGCTGATCCAGGATCAATCAAAGAACAATCCGGCCTTAATCTAAATCCACATGAAACAGAATCACTGGCCTGGAGCAAAGCTTCACCCACTCATTCATGTACAGCTAACTCACGGGAAGTGGACGTGCCCCGTAAGGGGGGCGCCGGAGGATGCATGTTAGGGGGGTCAGAGGAAGATCGCTGCCTGCCGGTCAGGTCTAGGGAGCCAGGTTTCCAACCGGGAGATCCCTGAGCCATTCCAGCAAGACCAGACGGCTGAACTGTGGGAAGGAGAGCAGAAGAGTGACTGCATGTCAGATTCAAAGAGAGCGACTTCAGGACAGTGCTTTTGTTTACTAGATGACGAGAAAGCTCTGCTAGGTCTCTTTTTCTGGACCCTGGAGCTGCTCCAGACCAGCAGAGCTCCATTATGCACCTAATTTCATTAGTGTCTTAAGAATACAGCTCATTGTGAAGTCTGAGCTTTGAGAGCAAAGATCTATGGGGCTCTGTTCAAGTCCCAAAAGAGAGAAAAACATCTTGTTCTAACACAGAAATCAGGTTCAACTCTGACAGACAAAGTCTCTTGTTCACTGGCATCTCGCTTGTGTCATCTTAACAGACCTGTAAGGCCTTATAAACAGTCCTGAGAGCGTGTGCACGTGACACCTGCTGTCCAGAGACTCTGGGAGCGCTCGTATAGGTCAGCATCTTCACACGGCCGTTGCCATGGAGCTCTGCAGTGGAACTGTGTGAGGGTGAGGATTCAAGAGCAGGTCAAATTAGATTTCTGCCATTTTCAGACCTGACATCTGTGAGGCTAAAAATACAGCAGCATATTGTGGCCTGAATGATAATCATACAGGGTCAAACAGCCTTATTGACTTTATGCATTTATGTATGCTTGACTTACTGTAGCATTTGATTAGCTTTTTAACAAGCAACACTTAATAACAATTTTCATAACATCAAATAATAGAAATATTTTTGAAGTAAATGAATGCAATAAAATAACTTATTTTTTTCTCTCTGTTCAAACCGATTGTATTAAAATAGTTAATTATTATTATTATAATTAATAATAATTAAAAAATAAATAATAATAATAACAACATATAAATAACAACAGTAATATTCATTATATAAATAATAATTATAAACTATTATTATTATTACTACTACTACATTAGGCAACACTGGACTTTTTATTCATATTTGAATTTTGTCTGGTAGTGTATATGATTACATGAACACTACATAGTTGATAAAATTACAACAGCTAAAATATTAATTCAATAATAATAATAATTTATAGTAGTAGTAATAGTAGTTAGTTAGGTAACACCTTTTTTTAAAGTGTCCTTGCATTGTTTAATTATGCTGTAACAAGGACACCTTACATTGTAACCATTCGTTTTATTAGTTATGGCTTTTATATTAATTAATAATGATATTCATTTTTATGTCATCCATTTGGTTACAGTTTTTGGATTTCTTTGTTTTATTTTTTGTATCTTTAATGTAATGGAGGAGGCTGGTCTATTTCTGCCCTCAGCCCTTAATCACTGTTTTTCCAGTTTCATCGTGAGCTGATTGCAATATAAAGTACCTAAATTTCGTGGGGGCAGAGGTGGAGCGGAGGTGGACAGAGCGACCGCTGAGTTGGTGTTGATGATGGTTCCATAGGTCTCGTTGTTGACCAGGTTGGGCACAAACCGCTGCTTGTCTTTGACTATGTCTCGTGCGTCTCGTGCCAGGCTGGCCGGACTGGGCTGAAGGGAATTACTGCCCGGAGTGTAGCAGCTGATGGGCCTCTCGTCCCGCCGGTGTGGACTGGACTATAGACACAATGCAAACACACTGAATACTCATATCAAACATTTGCAAAGATTTTGCAGGCCATACAAAAAAAAAAAAGACCGAGATGATTATAATGCAGTTTTTTTTGGTCGATTTAATATTTGGTCAGTCACAAAATCGCTGAATCTGCATTTTAAACCAATGAATCAGTTCAAATGGTCCAAATGAACAGACTGAAAACTATACATTTTGCGGTAGCACTTTATTTTACAGTCCTGTTCCTCATGTACATACTATGTATTTATTATAGTAATTACTAGTGCTGTCAAACGATTAGTCGCGATTAATCGCATCCAAAATAAGAGTTTTTGTTTACATAATATGTGTGTGTACTGTGTATATTTATTATGTATATATAAAGACACACACATACAGCATATATTTTCAAAATATTTACATGTATATTCATATAAATTATATCATATATATATATATTTAATATATAAACGTAACATATTTTTCTTAAATATATACATGCATGTGTGTGTATTTATATATACAGAATAAATATACACAGTACACACAAATATATTATGTAAACAAAAACTCTTATTTTGGATGCAATTAATCGTTTGACAGCACTAGTAATTACAATAACTAGGTACTAACCCTGAACCTACCCCTAAAATAAAGTGCAACCCATTTCGCTTTATATCTTTAAATATTTTTTGTTTTATTTTCATTTAAATTCTAAGTATAAATTAAATCCACATTCAAAAAAAAAAGAAAAAACAAAACAAAACAGGAATAGCAAAGTGGTTAAGTGAACTGATTCAAAACTGATTTGTTTACATTACTCAAAAATTGCTCTATATTACAATGTATTATTAGATTAGTGTATATAAATGAAAATAATAAAATAGAATACTTTCTTGTGTTCATTTACCCCAAAACATTTTTGAAAACATGCCTTAATTATTTTTAACTTGTTTTTTACTCTCTTTAATCTACCCTGCTACAATAACTGTTTAATTTAAAACGCTTTTAAATTAAATGCATCGTTACTATGTATTAAATATTACTAAATATCTACACACACTAAATGAAGCATAATCTATTAGTAAATATCTACATATGTTATTAAATATCTAAACAAACACACACACTTGTCACAAGGCATAATCTAATGCAACGTAGACATTTGATTCTCTGAAGTCTTTGAGTTCCTCCTCACCTTCTCATCCAGATCTTCATCACTCTCATCCAGGTCTTCATGCTGAAGTCTCCACTCGTACTCCACATGCACATGAGCGTTGAACTTCCCTGCAAGGGCCTGGTTCAGCTAACAGACCGACACAGATCATAAGCCAACACTTCTTAGCAGCTATCGCTCATATTAATCTACAAGGATATTGTATATATGATATGACAGCTCACCAGGTCCTCACACTGCAGGTGTTTGAGTCTCCTGGCGATGTCCAGCGGCGTCTCACCAGCCTCATTCGCTAAACACACACAGAAACACAAAACACATTGGTTTGATACATTTTATAAGCCTGGAAGTAGGGATGCACCGATACCGAGCTCCTGTACTCGTACTCGTTAAAATGCCCCGATACCAAACGCCGATACCACACAGCATGCGATAAGTGCCGTATTCAGAAAAAAAGAAACACCGACAACAGAACAACAGACAGCAGAATGGAGTTATTAGAGATTAAGGATGTCTACGATGTATATGTATGCAATGAATATACTGTTAAAATTCAGTATTAACGCCTGTATAGCTGATGTGTGCGAGCTGATAAACAAAGCACGCAGAGTGGCTGTCATAAAGGCTAAGGGTTGCCCGACTAAGTATTGATAGTTGTGTAAATATTGTCATAATAACAGCAGTCTGAAAAATTTTTGGTTGATTGTAATCCATTACATGCCTTTCTATCAAAGTTATCTAGCATTATCAAGCTGAATTTGTTCTGACACAGTTTAACTCTGAGTTCTTGTCATATTTTATTACCATTTTCGAAACTATAGCGAATAAACTGTGATAATGTGAGAAATGTTGAAGGTGTCTGAATAAATTTTGGTTTGACTGTATCTATTTGATAAATGAAGTTAACCAACTAACATTATACATACCCTTTTGGTTTCTGTACCCAATATTTAAAAAATGTACAAATGCAATAAAAATATCGGTATCGGCAAGTACAGAAAATAAAAGTATCGGTATCGGGCGAGTACTAGAAAAAGTGGTATCGGTGCATCCCTACCTGGAAGGATAAGAACGTCCTTCGCATCTTCACACCACATTCCGTATTCTTGGCTTCCTGTATTGGATTTGATTTTACAGACAAGACAAAGCCAAGTCTATCCAGACAGCTTGCTCACAATAGACGCTGGCAGGGATCTGAGAGAGGAGATTCCCTGGCACAGATTCCCCCTCCCACATACAACCACTAGGCCACATATGGCTCTGTTATCTTTACTTCCCATTGTTGGCGGACAGAATTACAAACCCTCTCCAATCACCAAACTAACTTCTCCCAGCAGTCAAAGTAAGAACATGGTGTGAGAACATCCACCAGACAAAACAAGGAGTCCTTAAAGGGACCCCGTCGAAACGTCACACCCAAACTTCCTGTTTCAACAGGGACTAAGTCAGGAGATTTCATTTCCTGCATACCGATGTCAATAGAGGCTTTTCCTCTCAGCAGCAGTTTGAGACACTCGCTGTTGTCCGTCAGGCAGCAGTAATGCAGCGCTGTGCTTCCTTTAGCCGTTTGCTTATCCAGGTTAAAACTGCGGGGAGAAACAAACACAATTTTGCCTATTTAGAAAACACTCAATCTCAAGTTTCCATTCTAGCCACAGCTCTGTAGCCTTCAAAACCAGCACTTTTAAATAGCTTTGGTCAAAAAAGCTGTTCAATCAGATTTAGCTGTGGGGGAGCATTGGTCAGCAAACAAGGGAAATAAACTTGGGAAAGGTGTTCTCGGCTGTCTGGGTCTTGCCTGTTCTGGGTGAGGAAGTCGATGATGTGAAGAGAGGTTCTGTCCACCAGTCTCACGGCCAGATGAAGGGCCGTCTCACCTTGTTCCTACCACAGCAAACCAAACAAGAAAGAAACAAACAAATAACATGACATGTTTAGACTGTTTTATTGTTTGGGTTTGTGCATAAGAGCTCCTCGTGTTTGAACAGATCATAATATTTTGGACATATCGTATGTGGATGAACCATGAGTACACAACACCACGTAACCTTTCACAGAAATGATGTCTGTTCAGTTTGATACAATGTCAGGTATTCATATGAAACTAAAATATTTATTACACTCAAAAGCACACACATTTTCTGCACAAAAAACACTAATAGTATGGTAACCAAATTTTTCTATGAAATATCACAGTAATGATTACAACTGTAAATTCATAATAAATAAATAAGGGATCGGATTCAAACAGTGTGTTATTTATTATTTTTAATACTTAAAGGGTCAGTTCACCCAAAAGTGAAAATTAGCCCACAAATTACTCACCCTCAAGTCATCCTAGGTGTAGGAAGCAGTTCCGGGATCATGACGTATGAGTTCAGCGTTGCACATGCGCCGGTGAGTCTCGTGAAAACCAACGTTTGTTTACAGGATCAAAGGATAAAGTTTCCTTACTTTAGCAAAGGAAAACGTCTCCTCTTGGCTTATATCAAAATCCTCTGACATTCTTCTTTACAAATCCTCGTTTTGTACTAATAAGTGACCGGTGTTTTGTTTTGATCTCTCCCCTGTGCTTCCGCGTTTGTCACCAACTCATACGTCATCCGTCCGGAGCTGCTTCTATGTACAATTGTTGGTGCAAGCTACATTAAAGTGATTATTACGTTTTGAATATGGATATTTTTCTTACAAAAATGCATCTATTCGCTACAGGAGGCCTTTGTTCACCCCCCGGAGCCATGTGAGGCACTTTTCTTTATGGATGGGCGCTTTTTATTTCACTTCTTTTGGACTGATGCATGCAACACCCGCTGAGTGCCACGAAACAGCTTGAAAGATCAAAGACCATTTTTAATATAACTCCGACTGGATTCGTCTGAAAGAATTTATGGTCTAATTTTCATTTTTGGGTGAACTAACCCTTTAATGGTTTACTTTGAATGTCAAAATAGAAACTAAACACACATTAAACTAAACAAAAGGATAAATATCTACTGTGATTTCAGGAGATCACATTAAAGTAGTTCTTTTAAATAATACAAAATATTTAAATTACTTTACTTGAACTTCATTTAAATGTGTGTGTATGTGTATAAAATAAATAATTAATAACTAAATAATGTAGAAATATTTGTACTTGAACTTCATTTCAAAGTAAAAATCTACATTTACCATACAACCACAGGAAAAATATATATCTTCTTTCCCTGTGGTTTATATATAAAGTTAATGTGGATTTAATTTTTTACTTTTAAGTGATGTTCAAATAAAAATTATTTAATTATTATAATTTAAAAAAACTTTTTAATTATTTATTTTTTACAAATATATTAATTATAAATATATTTTTATAAATATAATTATATAATACATGTTTTATTTATTTATGAAGTTCAAATAAAAATAAATAATTTATTATTGTGTTTTTAATAATAATAATTTATTATTATTATTTTATTTTAATTTTTTATTTGAACATCACTTAAAAGTATAAATTAAATCCACAACTGAATAACTCCTATCCAATCCAAGTTGAGATGGGAAAAACACTCACATGGCCATTGGCCAGAGGAATGGGCTCCATTAGGTCCACACCCTCAGCATAGACCTGGATGAGAGAGAAAATGTCCCGGGCCTTCACAGCGTCACAGAGCGTGTGCAGTTTGGACAGCGCATCTGGACACTTCTTACGAGCAAAGCGCTTCTCTGTGTATTTAGCCATGATGAAGTCTTTCCTCGCCTGCCTGTGCCATTACAGGGAATTAAATAAGTACAACGATACAATATACATTTGTATAATGATATAAGGTGATGACAAATCTTGGCTTACATGTCACTGGTCGGATTTGGTTTGATTACATCTTCTGCTGTCAGACAAGCTTCCATGATCTCATTAAACCCAGCATTCCCCACGTTCTTGGCCAGCTTAACACCACAACACAAACACAGACGCAAACACATGCATAAAATCAAGAGTGGTGCAAAACTAATTGCATTTTGCAACTCTAAAGTACCAACAAACAGATTTAACGCATTTATTTAGGGTCCATTTGATCTGTTTTGCTACTTCATAATATCTCAATCAGCCTAACAGTGTATCTTGGCTTTCAATCAGAGGCTTGCGTAAGCCTTTCTCACTGTGGCTAACAGTTCTGCAGTCTTATGTAATTGCTTTAATGATCCTAAATTGCTGGCCAAAAACGCTTTGGTCTGACATCATGCATGCTCCCAAAGAGCCCAAGTGATTTGAGCAAACCCCATAAAAATTTCAAGCATAAAGGCTGAACCAAAGGAATCCAGTGCAAACCAATTTGAGGCTTACAGCAGCAGTGCTGTGGAATCTGTGGAGATGCACTCCGTGAAATCAAAGATCAAACACTAACCAAGAGCTCTGAGGTGCTGAGAACATCTAGTGTTAGTGACTGGATTCTGGAGTAGTGAACGCCCAGCTCTCGGTGGATCCCTGAACACTCGATACACGTCAGGATGCCCAGGTTGGTGGAGAGCCACGTGGGGCCTGAGGGAGAATGAGAGAGAGAGAAAAAAAAATGCTTGAACAGCTTTAACAGATGCTGTCAATCAAGAACGTTTTATGATCAATTATGCAGATTGCTGGAGCTAGCAGTTAACACATATGCTCTAAAATCTTAATCGAGCTTGAAAAAGTTTCTTGATCTAAAAAATATTTTGGGAAGAAGTAAATCATTTTGAAAAAATACAGAATATAATAATAATAGTAATTGTATAATTATATTATAATTAATATTATAAGTACGTTACAATACTATTTTACAAATTCATTACATTATATAATTATTTCATTGACGTATTCATAATTATTTAATAATAATAATAATAATAATAAATGAACTAATTAAACTGAACTAATTAAATTATATAATAATAATAATTATTATAATGATTTTTTAATGCTATTATTGAATCATTATTGTATAACATATTTAAGTAATTCATTATCAATAATAATACATTACAGGTATTGTCACTATTGTGTATTACATTATTTTATTAAATTGTGTAATTATCCTTATTGTTCTAGTAATTATTTAACAACAACAACAATAATAATAATTGTATAATTATTATAATTATATTATAATTAACATTATAAGTATGTTACAATAATATTTTACAAATTCATTACATTATATAATTATTTCATTGATGTATTCATTATTATTTAATATAATAAGAATAACAACAACAACAACAACAATAATAATAATAAATGAACAAATTAAACTGAACAAATTCAATTATATAATAATAATAATAATTATTATTATTTATTAATGTTATTATTGTATCATTATTTTATAACATATTTAAGTAATTCATTATTAAAAATAATACATTACAATACTATTTTACAAATTCATTGAATTGTATTTCATTGATGTATCCATTATTATTATTAAATAATAATATAAGAAGAAACTGTTATAAAATTTCATTATATTAAATACATTAAATTCAATAATAATAATAATAATAATTATTATTATTATTATTACTACATTTATCAGTTTATTATTTTTATGTTTTATTATTTTATTATTATAATTGTAAAACATATTTAATAAATGTATTAATAATAATAATAATACCAAAGTTTTGGCATGCTGTTCAAATCTAAAAAATAGATTGGTTCACTCAGAGCAGAATCGGTATTTGATCGTTTTTGTTTCTGCGTTCCTCGTAGTAATCTTGTCAATCGACAAGTACCTGACTGGTCCAAACAGAGCAGCCTATGCAAATTCAATCCTTATAACAGAGTTCCTTTACTACCAGTTTCCACTTTGTTCTTCCTGTGAGCCAATTTAAAACAGACCCCCCTCCCCTCTTTCTTTCTCCACTTCCTCCTTCCTGTCGGTTTCCAGGTCACTCACCGGGAGCTCCGCAGTCACAGCAGACGTCATTACCCGCCATCCGCTTGACCTCACCGAGGATGGCCTTGGTCAGCTCCTGCACGATGTTGTTCTCGCCAACATGCTGGTCACCCTTAAAGGCGTTGTTGAGCGCCTCCTCCTTGCTGTTCTGCAGCACTGAGATCCATCTGAGAAGAGAAGAGACGCATAGAGATCATGAGGAGTAAGAAACAAAGAGCTGATTCTACTGATTCTGATTCTACTTACAGTAACAGCTTTTAGAGCATTGTAGGGAATCAAGGCTGGGGAAGATTCTTTGAATCTGTAGCGACTCAATTTAAAGTAGTTCAACTACAGTCTCAAACAGCAGTTCACTACACTAGAGGCAACTAGCAAAAAGTAGCTAACTATGTTCAAGTTAAGGGGGAACCATTTTTATCAATGATTAATGATTATCCACAACTAACGCAGTATTTATCTGTCACAAAAATAACCAGGATATTAATTAGAGGGACAGTTTCAACCTTAATATATAAATACAGATAATTTCATACAAAAAAATAAATAAATACAGAAGAATAAAAACTATTTATTTTACTACAAAAAAAAAGACGTGATGTGCTTTGCAAGGAGTTCAAGGAACACAAACGAATGATGATTCAAATCATTTTTTGAACCGGATTAAATTAATCAGATTTTTCCAAGTCTAGTTTGATGACGGTCCAGCTACCCTCAGTTGGGGAAAAACAGCTAATTACTGGAAGAGCTGCAGTATTTTGGTACTTTCAGTTAGTTATTCTCTAAAACTGTAGGGAATGTCCCTATGACAGGTTTCCTCAGAAAACAGAGCAGGAACGCACAGACAAACACACTTACATTGGACACTCTGGCTCATCCTCTGCCTGGAAATGATACGTTCTGTCATCTAAGAGTGAAAGAAGAACAGAAAGACTTTGTTAGATGAAAGCACAAATAGACCTTGGAGAAAACAGGTAAACGTTTGACAATCTGTTTAGAGCCCTATATTTTGTCCATCCCTATATTACTGTGCCCATCATAAATTGATGTGCTGTCTGTGAAATCTGTTAACTGAAATCTGCAGACTGGATATTGGACTTTTAGCAACTAGAGTTGACTTGTTCAGACTGCAAATCAAAACAAAAGTTGTGTAGTGTTTTCTAGCCTTGAGTAATGATCCCTTTTCAGATGGATCTGTACCAAAAAAAACAGACATGGCCCAAATATTGTTAAATTTTCATTGCAAAATTGTGACATCTTTATCTTTCCTACATCACCTGATGCACTGTATATAGACAGTGCTTTGTATTAAATGTTGTCACAGGCCTTTTCAGTTGTTCTGGCAACCACTGTTGGAGAGTAACTAGCAACATGTAAAGGCATTACGTAATTTAATTACAAAGTAAATTTAACTGTAATCTGTTACAGTTACTGGGAAAAATGTGCAATTAAATTAGTTACATATGAAAATGTTAACAATTACAAAGGGGATTACATCTGAATATTTTCTTTTTTTTAAGATTTATTAATGGCGTTTTTGCCTTTATTTTGATAGTATAGTAGCTAGACAGGATCGTGAAAGGTCTGCGAGCCAGGACTCGAACTCGGGACGCCTGAAGTGCAACGGCGCTATATGTCGGTGCACTGCCCACGAGGCTATTGGTGCCAACACAAAGGAGGTTACATCTGAATATTTTCTGTAAAAAGCTAGGATATGTTGAATAATATCAATTTGTTGCTTTTCCTGATTTGATGTGCACGATGCCTCCTGCCATTTAAAGGCCATTTGGTAAAGCGATGCTATTCTGAGCCTTTTGATTGGTTCTCTTGTTTGAATTTGCAGCACACCACATCTGCCGAATCCACATTGGTGCTGAAAGCTTTAGGCTACAACCTGTCTGAGAAGATCTCAGAAAAATCTCAAAGTAAAAAGAGGTGCTAAAGTTTTGTGGTGGCTGTGCTTAAAAATTTAATTATTATAATGTTAAGTGATGAAAGATTTTGAAAGACTGACAATAATCAGTGTTAAGTACTTCTGTAAGGTTAACCCATGCCTGGTTTACATTTTTGAAAATTATTAACGATTGAAAAAAATTGCTAGAAATTAAGCAAAGTAATCAAAAAGTAATCAGTTACATTGCTTTAATCAAATAATTGAAATAATTACACTACTTGTTACATTTTTAATAACTTGTAATCCGTAACCTATTACATTTCCAAAGTAACCTTCCCAACACTGCTCCAACTTAACTTGCTTTTATAACATTAATAATTTGTCTTACGGAACTTGCCACAAAACCTTGTAGGCAAAATAATAAGTAGTTATTTTATTATTATATACTATTATAGTATTTACTAATATCTGAAACTAGATTCAAAGATTTATATATTTTTTTAGGGATGGACCGGTAGGATTTTTTTTGGCCGATACAGATTTTAACAAAGAAGTATTGGCCGATTCCGATACCGATATTGGTCAATTGCATAAAGCAGGGCTTAAAAACAAGAAAAAAATTGATTGGTTCACTCAGAGCAGAATCGGTATTTGAACGTTTCTGTTCCTGCGTTCCTCTATGAAACCGCTTTGAGTAGAAAACATACCGGTTAATAACGTTATTTTTTTTTACTTTTTCTTTGCCAATAATAATAATAATAATAATAATAATAATAAAGTACAGCGTTTAATTTACTCAAAAAGAAAAAGAATCATGAAGAGAGTCTTGAATGATCTCTCTTAGTCATAGCCAATACAGCATCATCTTTTCTAGATTTACCAAAGGCCAAATGTATTAAACAAAAGAAAAAACTGTCAAAGCAATAAAAACATTAAAGAATTTTTTTCAAGATATTTAAAAATATTTCAGTCTGGATTTTTTTTTAAAACGCTACTCCTATAAGAGTTAATTTTTAGAAAATGCCTAAATTAGTAGGCTGTACATTGCATTTTATTATTACATTCTGCATGAATCCAAATGTTTCCATATTTGCGAAGTATCTGGATGCTAACCTATTATTTATTATGTAAACTATAGGCTTTGTTCTTCACTCACAGAATCAACGTAAAACATCATCCTTCACATATAGGCTATATCAGCAGTGAGGCGTGGGCTGGTCACACTGAAGGGCACATACTGTACTACGAACTATTTAAATTGAGCAGCGTAACTGTTTATGTTTCTTTAACTGTATTTTATTTTGACAATGAACAGGCTGCCATGTCAAATTAGCAAAAATTAGTTGTATGTTCATGAGGCACTGACGCAATCTGATGCACCGACGCATTGTTTTCCCAACTGTTACTCCGTAATTTATGGTCATACCAACGCTGGTTTGTCATAGAGATAGAAGCAAAACATCATTCAAAATTGTAAGGCTTTTGAAAAAATTAAGGAAACTGCTTCTGCTTTCTAATTATTTCCCCGTGAACTTCGGAGCGCATTACAATTATCCGAAACTCAGCACAATTTTTTTCTTTCGATTTGTTAATCTGTTAATGATTTAAGTGAAATATATTTTGTCTATAGGCCTATATATTCCTTTTTATGTAGCCAATATAGTTTTATTCTGTTTTCTCTGTTCACAGAAACGCTGTAGGTGCGTGATGTGACCTTGTGTGAATCCGTGTTCTACACTGGTTTCAAACAAAAAGCTGCATATTACCTGCCATTCATTTTCACTTAAATGTAGGCCTAATGCTTGGCGGTTCGTGACATATCCTCGGATAAACTAACGCCGGGGAATTGTCATTGGGAATTACCTATGATGAATTTACAGCTGAGAGCGTGCATTTCACTCGTTGGATGCGTCAGCGTCACGTTTGCATACGGCCGTACTATGCCGTCTGACAAACTATATTTTGTACAGATTTTATTTTGCTTTGGCAAGTATTTAATTATTTTGACCAGAGAAAAACGTTGGATTATGCAACAGACATGCAACTCGTTGTCTCCATGCAGTTAATTAATAAGCCATCGATATCGGCCCTTTTCATGCTATTTCCGACTTTTTTTCCGGCTTTAAAATAATCAAAAATTGGCCGATAAATATCAGCAGCCGATACATCGGTGCATCCCTAGTTTTTTTTATATTTTCAATTTTAATTGTATTTTAAGTTGTAATATTTTTATGGGCTTTTATCATTTGTATTATTTTTTAAATATATCGATTTTATTTTTTCAGTTTTAGTTTTAGTAATTTTTGTATTTATTTCTGTTTATATTTTATTTCTAATATATATAAGTTTAGGTTTTTCAACTAATTTTTATATTTTATTTTATTTCAATTAATAAAAATGATGATAATGGTTTTAGCTGAGTTCACAATAACACCACTGATAGTCTGATGAATAAAGTTGTGCTGGTTAACGGAGAGGAAAACTAGAGTGACACAGTGACAATTCATTTGGAATGAGGAAGACTGGAAAAAACCTAAGAGGATGGGGCTGGCAAGATAAGCTCAAATACTCCCACTCATGGAGGGACACATAAAACTGAACTTGTTTTTCTCTCTGGCATTAGTTTCCTGTGGTTAGATGAGATGTTAAAGGAAGCACAGGAACATGGGAGAAAATCCCTTAGCCAGGGCCAGTGTTTCCTCAGCCACTACTTCCTCATAGATAACAACAACACTCTGTTACTCTGTAGCCTTGAATGTTACAACGAAACTCTACAAGCCACAGAACTGCAAGGCTCTATACTATATAGTGTTGGGGAATTTTCCTCCTACAAACTCTCCAATTATACAGTATATAAACAAATTCATAATTAATGTCTTATAAAACAAATACAACATATAAATAATTATATACATGTTTTTTTTTTTTTTACTAATTTATTCATTTTAATTATATTTCTGATCATTTAAAAGATCAAAAATAGACTTTCAGTTGGTTGATTAGGATCTCTTAATATAAACCTCAAAACAACTTAATCCTCCTACTTTTGTTCTGTACTGCTGCTCTAACATTTTTGCCCTCAGTGTTCTCAGTTACGTCTTTAGCAGCCAAGCTTTAATTAAGTTTTACATAGCTCCCATATCAGATTTATAAATGTGTGTGTGAAGTAACGGCGAGGGGTGTAACCGTACGGGAGATGAGGTCAAAACTTTTCTTCTCCTCTGGGTTGTGCTTCACTTGACAGGTGAGAAGATTGAGTTTGGCAGGAGGTCTGTTTGCCTGAGACATGGAGAGAGAGGAGAGAAGAGAAAGAAAGAGAGAGAGAAAGAGATATAGAGCAACAGTTACACTCATCTCAACATACAAGCCTAATACCATGATTTAGTGTTAAAACTTAGAAAGAACGTACAGGTCGTATTTCTTTCTGTTTTTGAGTTTACGGAGTTTAATTTACACTGACAATTTTTTAAAATCATTAAATTACAGCATTTATTTTAACACAGAAAAATTACTTTTAATTTACTTAAGAAAATTACATGGAAATCATGTATCAAAAAAACCCCTAATGGTCCTAAAACAGATCCCAAAACACCTTGTAAATCCCTTCATAAATGTAAATGTATTTGGCTCTCTTTTTCCATATATATACTCTACATTGAGAAATTGAGAATCAGCCACAGCAAGAACGTCCTAAAGTTTCACAATCAGGCCACAGTCTGATGCTGATGTGCTCCAGCACAAGGTGTACAAAAGCAGCTACTGAATTGCTCTTTTATTCTACACTTCCTGTTATCCTCTCACTAGTTGTCTTGGTGACAAGGAAAGTTTTCAGATCTGAACAACACTGAGGCCAAAGGAAATGCCTCTGGAAAAGACAGTTAAATGACTAATGATGTTCACTGAGAGGCTCGGGTTGAAGGCTGAAAGTCTATTGAATTAGCACTGCACTAATGAGGAAACTGCGTGATTTATCAAAGATAAGTATATCGCAGGTGCTGTGGCTTGTTCCCTTTTAATTAATACATTTATTTACTATTTTTAAATCACCATTTTAGCCTTCACAAGTTCACTTAATTGCACTTACGGTGTGAGAAATTCATTTTTAAAGCATGAATATTCCCTGTGGTCTCAATTAACATGATGGCATAAATAATTATCATAATAACTCAATTATAAAAAAAAAAAAGGAAATAATACTTTTTTATTGTTAATTAAGGATGGGCAATTTCACTTTTTTTCCCCATTTCAATCCAATATCAACTGCTTCCGAGACCCAGGGCCGTCCTTAGGGGGGTGCAACTGGTGCGGTTGCACCGGGCCCCACGGCGAGCGGACCGCAATCGCGAACGGACCAAGGGGGGCCCTGCATAAGGACGGCTCTGCCGAAACCAACATAGTAGATTATTAAAACCAATATCTCTAGTAAATGGAAAGTTTTGGTGATTTCTGAGGATAAAATGGTAAATAATTATATTTATGTAACATGATATTTAAAAGCCATCACGATTAACATTGCAAAACCATATTTTTAATCCAAAAAAGAATAATAAAATTAACAAAAAAAGGAACAAATAGTTCTAGCACTGAATAGTACAATAAATAGTACTAAACAGTTATGTAGGACAAGAACTATTTCTTCCTTTTTTGTGAAACCCTTTTATTATTTATTTATTTATTAATAACAGCTAATGTTTTCACTTCAAAGCTTATAGTATACATTTATTATCATGCAAAAAAAAAGCAGTAATAGTATCAATATTTCAAGATCCTTATGCCCAACCCCATTAAAATTGCAAGTTACACCGCAGGACACTGCTGTCACTGCTCCACTTGACATTTCAACCACCCATATGTTAGTGCATGTACACATGAGCATGAAAACTAATCGGACATAAAGAATGTCAGAGGTAGGTTACGTACCGTCCCATGTGAGATGGTCAAATAACCATTCTTCACCGTGCACTTTCTCTTCTGCCACACTTTCCGCAGCCTGAGGAAGTAGGCAGGAAACAGTAAAAGCCACATCAATGACTATTTAATTATAAATTAAGCAGGACGGACTTTAGTCATTGTAACAAATGTGCATTAACTCACTGTATGGCTTTTTAATGCACACTATGTTATGTGATGTCAAAATATGATTACCCATCACTTTTCTTGTAAAGGTTCCCGCTGCGCTCCGTCCCGTGTTCTTTGTTACCCTGGGGTTGGTGCAGACTGTAGGTGGCGCTCTGTCTAACCTGTGAGTCCTATGAGGAGAACAGATATGTAAATGTATTCTCTGTACACACAGCAGCAGTGAAGCACTGGCATGTCAGCAGTCAGAGGAAGTGAAAAGCAGTGTTTTTGTATGGCAGTGTTGTCACTTCAGTGAGGAAATGGGAGCAGTGGGTTGCAAGCGTCCCCAGGGAGCTGAGCTCATTTGGAAACACACTGCTTTGGAACACAAGGCTCTGAGCCAGTAATGAGAACACTGCCATTTTAGTACTAATGTTTTGAGTTGGACGAAAGCCAAAATGGGCTGTATTTTGACGATGTGTGCTGTATGAAGCTCGGTTTAATTATAGTGCCACATCACTCAGAGTTGGATAAAAGACATCAGCCGCAACATTGTATGAACTGCACTCAGAGCCTTAGATTTAATTCATCTGCACTGCATGTTTGTTTTTTCTTTTCTTTTACATTTTGCAGACAATTCCAGGAAATGGCAAATGCGCAAGTATGATCATGTATACCAAGCAGACACTTACTCTCCTAGACTTTGTTGCCAAAGGACGGTAGCATTAAAGAAGAGAAGAGAGCATTCTTCAGACAGGTTACAAAAAACATTTTGCACACTAAAACAACATTGCTATATACTGTAAGAATGTATCAAACATTGTGTGACATCAATGGCCAGTTATTTTTATGTTATGACTAATAATGAATTAAAAGAAATCTAGAGTATGCAGCCAGAAATGGAAAAAATGAGCCAATATCATCCAAATAAGTCTATGATGCCTACGGGAAAAAGTGTGCAGTGCCTATTGGGAAAAAAAAAAAATCAATAATTGTGGCCAAAATCTATTCGATTTTGAGCGTTATTGTGCGATAGATAGATAATAAAATAAAAATTAATTAATTAATTAATTAATTTGACCAAAACCAATGATCACACACACACACACATATATACACTGAACAAAATTATAAACGCAACACTTCTGGTCTCAGACGATCTTGGATGTGGAGATCCTGGGCTGGTGTGGTTACACGTGGTCTGCGGTTGTGAGGCCGGTTGGATGTACTGCCAAATTCTCTGAAACGCCTTTGGAGATGGCTTATGGTAGAGAAATGAACATTCAATTCACGGGCAACAGCTCTGGTGGACATTCCTGCAGTCAGCATGCCAATTGCACGCTCCCTCAAAACTTGCGACATCTGTGGCATTGTGCTGTGTGATAAAACTGCACGTTTTAGAGTGGCCTTTTACTGTGGCCAGCCTACGGCACACCTGTGCAATAATCATGCTGTCTAATCAGCATCTTGATAAGCCACACCTGTGAGGTGGCTGGATTATCTCGGCAAAGGAGAAGTGCTCACTAACACAGATTTAGACAGATTTGTGAACAATATTTGAGAGAAATAGGCCTTTTGTGTACATAGAAAAAGTCTTAGATCTTTGAGTTCAGCTCATGAAAAATGGGGGCAAAAACAAAAGTGTTGCGTTTATAATTTTGTTCAGTGTATATATATATATATATATATATTGTGTAATCCTAAAGTAAACAAGGCCAAAGATAAAATAAAAAAATATTACAAATAAATAATAAAATACAACAAAATAAATTAAAATATAAAATAGGTCGAAAACAATGATCACAAATATAGTGTACTGCTATAGTAAACAAGGCTGTTAGTAAAATAAAATAGGAATGTGGGCAATAAATAAATAAATACATGAACATATAAATAGATTGACTGATTGACCGAAACCACTATGATCACAGATATATTGTGCACTCCTGTAATAAACAGGGATGTCATGTGTAACCCATATGGCAAGACAAATGAAACTCTTACTTGTTCACGTCGAGTTATTTGCATTTAGATTAAATGTGTGTAATCGCTTAATGTCTGTAATCATACATGCCAAAGCTACTTGATTGAGGAAACACTTAAATGTCTTGAGTGACTAAAGCTTTCAGAGGGTGTGAAAATTGGCTGATGTAGAGTAGAGTAGAGGCTGATGACCAGTTTCCCCATTCAGTGTTTACTGAGCAGTAGACTTAAACCATTTTAATTTAGACACACTTCAAACTGAGCTATAAACGCGCTGTGAATAGTGCTGTGGTTTGTAAATTGCTGCGATTTGCGTGGGATCTGATTTGACAAAGGACTAACCTCCTTCTGCTCCACTTGCAGAGTGGTCTTTAACACGTCCCGTAACTGGGTTAACTGCCTGCGTTCTTCATCCTGTTCCTGTTTGATCTGAACACACAATCATCCACGACCATCACCTCATGTTGCAGCATGATAATGCACGGCCCCATGTTGCAAGGATCTGTACACAATTCCTGGAAGCTGAAAACATCCCAGTTCTTGCATGGCCAGCATACTCACTGGACATGTCACCCATTGAGCATGTTTGGGATGCTCTGGATCGGCGTATACGACAGTGTGTTCCCGTTCCTGCCAATATCCAGCAACTTCGCACAGCCATTGAAGAGGAGTGGACCAACATTCCACAGGCCACAATCAACAACCTGATCAACTCTATGCGAAGGAGATGTGTTGCACTGCGTGAGGCAAATGGTGGTCACACCAGATACTGACTGGTTTTCGGACCCCCCAATACAGTAAAACTGCACATTTTAGAGTGGCCTTTTATTGTGGCCAGCCTAAGGCACACCTGTGCAATAATCATGCTGTCTAATCAGCATCTTGATATGCTACACCTGTGAGGTGGATGGATTATCTCGGCAAAGGAGAAGTGCTCACTAACACAGATTTAGACAGATTTGTGAACAATATTTGAGAGAAATAGGCCTTTTGTGTACATAGAAAAAGTCTTAGATCTTTGAGTTCAGCTCATGAAAAATGGGGGCAAAAACAAAAGTGTTGCGTTTATAAGTTCAGTGTATATATATATATATATATATATTGTGTAATCCTAAAGTAAACAAGGCCAAAGATAAAATAAAAAAATATTACAAATAAATAATAAAATACAACAAAATAAATTAAAATATAAAATAGGTCGAAAACAATGATCACAAATATAGTGTACTGCTATAGTAAACAAGGCTGTTAGTAAAATAAAATAGGAATGTGGGCAATAAATAAATAAATACATGAACATATAAATAGATTGACTGATTGACCGAAACCACTATGATCACAGATATATTGTGCACTCCTGTAATAAACAGGGATGTCATGTGTAACCCATATGGCAAGACAAATTAAACTCTTACTTGTTCACGTCGAGTTATTTGCATTTAGATTAAATGTGTGTAATCGCTTAATGTCTGTAATCATATATGCCAAAGCTACTTGATTGAGGAAACACTTAAATGTCTTGAGTGACTAAAGCTTTCAGAGGGTGTGAAAATTGGCTGATGTAGAGTAGAGTAGAGGCTGATGACCAGTTTCCCCATTCAGTGTTTACTGAGCAGTAGACTTAAACCATTTTAATTTAGACACACTTCAAACTGAGCTATAAACGCGCTGTGAATAGTGCTGTGGTTTGTAAATTGCTGCGATTTGCGTGGGATCTGATTTGACAAAGGACTAACCTCCTTCTGCTCCACTTGCAGAGTGGTCTTTAACACGTCCCGTAACTGGGTTAGCTGCCTGCGTTCTTCATCCTGTACCTGTTTGATCTGAACACACAACCAGCAGTGGAAACAGAAGGTTTTGTGAAGGTAAAAATTAGAATTGACCTAGAGATCAGTGGTGTGAGCCAGTATAAGGCTGGCATGTCAGTGTTTAAGCTTTGAAAAATCTCTCACCGAGTGCAAGTCTGTGGCGAGTTTCTCTATTGAGGGTTTGAGGTTGTCCACTGCTTTGAGACCATCCTGAAAGAAGCTATGACAGAAGACATAACGCCAGTTAATTTCCAAATAATTAAACACACGCTCCATTTTAGTTGAAGATGTGATAAAAACAACATTGGAGCAACATAGGTTTTTGAGGAAAACATTCCAGGATTTTTCTCCATATAGTAGACTTCAACAGGGACCCAACGGGTTGAAGGTCCAAATTGCAGTTTCAGTGGAGCTTCAAAGGGCTCTACAGCAGAGGAATAAGGGTCTCATTTAGAGAAACGATCAGTCATTTTCTAAAAAATTATATACTTTTTAACTAGGGCTATGTGATATGGACAAAAAAAACCTATCGCGATTTCTTGATCAATTTTGCGATTTCGATTTTAATCACGATTTTGACACAGACATGCTTTACAGTCATAAATGCATTCAGTGTGAATTTGAAACATATTTCCAAAAGAAAACCAATTAGAGCTTTATCAAGAAGCTGTAACATGTCTCTAGAACAGACATAAGGCAAAATAATCACTAAGTAAAGGTGTAACAAAATGTCTCTAGAATAGCCATATGCCAGGGGGAAAAAATGCATTTTGCCATGCATTGGTCATAGAGCTCTTTGTGGCGTTGCCTCAGATGTTGAACTAGATTTGTTGCGCCAAGTTCACACGTACTCCGTCTGCAGTGTGTATACAGCGTATGTGTATGTGGTGCAGAAGCAGCACGGACTCATTTTGCTTTCGCACAGGACACGTTTGCAGTCCACTCCTGATCCGCGGCTGTTTACCACAAAGGCAACATTGATTTCAAATCCAAATGTTGTTTCTGAAAATGCTTTTTCAGCATTGTGATTCTCTTTTATCACAGTACAATAATACAATCTTTCATAGACATATATACACGTTTAAACTCAATAAATATAACTTTAACTACCACCACGAGTGCCATCTA